GAGGAGGCAAGTACCACATGTACCGCCAGCTTGCCTGGAAATCCAAAAGGAATTTTTTTTTTTTTGGAACACTGAATTGTGTATTCCCAAAGTTCATAAGTTGATGCCCTAAACCCACGCGTGACTATATTTGGAAATAGGGACTTTTTTTTTTACATCAAGAAGGTAATTAAGGTTAAGTGAAGTCTTAAGCCCTAATCCAGTGGGGCTTACCGTATTTTTCGGACCATAAGACGCTCCGGACCATAAGACGCACCAGTTTTTAGAGAAGGGAAATGAAGAAAAAAAGATTCTGAAACAAATAGTGTCCTAAAATATTTTATGTGCATTAAAACCCAACATCACAGTCATAAACACATGTAATCAACCCTGTAAAGTAAACAGCAGCATTTAGAACCATTTTAGAGCCAGGCAAGCACACAGAGACCACACAGAGCCGGGCAAGTAAAAAAACTTTTTTTTTTAAAGTATATGTGTAGGCTATATTTGGACCATAAGACGCAGGGACTTTTTCCCCCCACTTCGGGGGGGGGGGGGGGGGGGCGTCTTATGGTCCGAAAAATACGGTATATCCGTATAAGAAAAGGAAAAGGCACCAGAGTACACATACAGAGAAAAAGTCATGTCAGGACACAGCAAGAAGATGGCCATCTGCAAGCAAGAAATAAAGAGCGGTCTCACTAGAAACCAACCCTACCAGCACCGTGATCTCAGACTTCCAGCCTCCAGAACTCTGAGAAGAAGAAGAAAAAAAATCCGTTGTTTAGGCCACCCAGTCATGGCAATTTGTTACGGCAGCCTGAGAAAACTAAAATGGTATAACGGATCAGACATTGGGAAATAGACAGAATTGACCTGTGACCTTGAGTAAATCCCACTTAGTTGCCTGAACTATAAAACATAAAACAGGATGGGGCTCCCCGCAGTGAGCCTATGGAGACAGTTTAAAAAGGTAGGCGAAAAGACTTCGACCTCTTCTCCAAGGAAACACAAATGGCGGGTGCTGCAGAAGGGTCTGGAGGGCCAGGGCCCCGGGATGGGAGGCCGCGGTGGCTTTGGTGCACGATTTGGCAGTGGCATCTAAGCCTGGGTCACGGTATGGTCAGGGCCAGGACTGTGGCCGCAGAGGTCCCAGAGGCAAGACCATGGACAAAGACATGAAGATCAAGTCCCTGGAGAAGATCTAACTCTTCTCCTTGCCCATCAAGGAATCTGAGATCGTTGGCTTTTTCCTGGGGGTAACTTTAAAGGAGGAGGTTTTGAACATTATGCCAGGACAAAAGCAGACCCCTGCTGGTCAAAGGCATTTGCTGTCACTGGGGGACTACAGTGGATGTGCCAGTCTAGGTGTTAAGTGCTCTGAGGAAGTAGCCACTGTCATCTCTGGAGCCATCATCCTGGCAGAGCTCTCTACTGTCCCCCGCAGAGAGGCTACTGGGGGAACAAGATAGGCAAGCCCCACACTGGCTTGTAAGGTGAGCCCCACTGTGGCTCTGTGATGGTGCCCCCCGGGACACAGGCCTCGTCTCAGGCCCTCCCCCTGCCCCCTGCCCCCTGCCCCTGTCTGTGCCCAAGAGGCTGCTGCTCATGGCTGGTATCCATGACTGCTACACCTCAGCCAGGGGCTGCACTGCTATAGGGGCAATTTCACCAAGGCCTATAGCTATCTCACCCCCGAGCTCTGGAACGAGACGGTGCACTAAGCCTCCCTATCAGGAACTCGCTGACCACCTTATAAAGACCCACATGGCAGTTTCTGTGCAGAGGACCCAGGCTCCAGCTGTGGCCTACCACATAACTTTATACAAGAAAAACAATAAAGTGAATTAAGCATGTTTTTTTTAAAAAGACTTTGAAATGTATAAATTATTACACCGTGATATGCCAATGCCAGCTTCTAAGGACAGGGACCACCATCTCCTGAGTGCCTACTGTGTGTCACACACACTCCCCTCTGACAAAGCCCACCGCTGTCCCCTAAGGGATAAGGCACTCCAGCCTTAGGAGGAAGGAAAAATGGTGTCAATTACAGAAAAGAATCAAAGAGCATTCCAAAAAGGTAGAAAAAGCATATAAAATTTAAGTAATAATGTGGAGAGAATTATTTCAATGACTTCCCAACGTTTTTCCTCCAAAAGCTAAACTCTTTTCAGTAACATTTTTCTTTACTACAGAAAAGTCTATCCTCAATGTAGATTAAGCTTTGTTATAACTTTAACATCAGCATACATAAACTAGGAACATCCAAAGGGCTAAGTTGTGAAAATGATTATTTAGACACGAAATTTCTGGAAACAAGACTAACCCTTTAATGTTTTTAATGTAGTAAAGCTTATATAAAATAAACAAAGCCATGTTATTATATTAATCTACAAAGACTTAGAAAACACTTTATTTAAATATTTTATATCCTAAATAAATAAATTGTAGAAAATAAGTCATTCAACAGAAAGTGTTATAGACTTGGCTACAAATTGAGTTTTATGTAAAGTCTCTACTCTGCATCTCAAAATATTTGCAAAAAGCAATATTTCATCTCCTTTAAATATTAAAAATCTACAACAGGAAAGGTAATATTAGTAAATATTAGACATATTTAATAATAATTATTCTCTGGAAAATAAAAAACATTGTTTTCATAAATTACTAATGATTTTTGTTTTGATCTGTTTTTCTTTTTCATTAATACAAAACAATCATCCTCTAATAAAGATATATGAAATTATTACCATTTTACACTGATGGAATATAAAAATAGAGCAATATAGTTCTTCAAAATATATTTTAATATATTTCCTCCAAGCCTCATGAAACTATTAACAACATTATTTTAATGTAGTTATAAAAGTTGCAAAAAGAAGTTGTAATGACCCAAGTAATTAAATCAGGGTCACTTTAATGATGTGTTGCTAGATTTTAAAAATTGGTGAAACTATCAAGTCTTAACTATTTTTTTAATCATGAAGGAAAAATTATTTCTTTCTAAGGACGAGACCTTTCCTGAACCTTATGTATTACCACAAATGTCCAATAAAGCTGAACCTTCAAGAACTGGCCTAGCACATGAGGCAGACTAACTGATAAGTTCTGTGTTTCAGGACCATCCTCAATAAATTTTGAAATTTTTACTCCAAAACATGTATTTTTTTTCAAATGAGCTCCTCAGTAAAAAATGAATTAAAAGTACAGAACAACCACAAACAGAGAAAAAGAGAAAGAAAAGCCTACCATGAAACCATCTTTGTTTTTCAGGCTCATTTTTGGTCAGGTGCTACCTGTTCGCCGGAGGAAACTGCCCTATTGACATGAAATGTAGTTTAGGCTCTAACACATCCTTTCATCTTGAGTCCAAGCTCCACAAAATTAAAATCCCTTCTTGCTCTGTCAGGAGCCATGGTGGGAGTTCCATACCTTCCCAAGATGGCTGTCAAAATCTGCCAACTCCACCCTCTTGGTAAGGGGGGTGGGGTGGGAGAGGGATCAGTATCAATGGGCAAGGGGACCAGTGGGAGATCCTTCATATATAGGCTATCTCAAAAAAAAATGTATACACACTTCAAATAATTATAAAGGCAGTGTTTATTAAAATACATTTCATTTTCAAATTTTACAGCTATTCACTGTTACAAGTGTGTATACATTTTAGGGGGCACCCTGAAAAGATTTATTTATTTGAGTTAATAATATTCTCATTTAATATACCTACATGGCCTGACCTGTCAGCTACTCGTATCTTGTCTTGCATCTTAGATAAGGCCAACGTGGCTTGGCTCTCATTCATCTCCCCACAGAGAAGCCTCCTGTGTGTTTTAATGGGGAAAATGGAAAGAAGCTGAAAGAGGAGTAAGTAATTGCGGCAACGAGTTGACCTGGGGGCAGGCCCAGTGGATGGTGTTGGTGGGAGATCTTTGGAAAGCAGGAAAACTCTGGTTTAGGAGAGAAAACAGGGACAACTCAACTTGCAAAAGTGGAGACCGCTGAAAGGAAACAGGAAGTGGTAAGCAGGAAGGAAATAGGAAACCAAGACTGAACCTTACTAAAAGGGAAATGGTTTCTCTTAGGTTATTTTCTCATGGTAGAGAGAGAGGGGGATGTGGGTGGCCAGTTCTTATTCTAAAATATAAAGTTCACTGTGCCCAACCAGCAAAATAAACACCACCATTCTCACCTTTTAGCCAAATCCCAGCATTAGCCAATACTGTTTATAATAAAAGCAACAATAAATCTCCTCATTCAGTAAATACTTGATTTTTTTTTTTTTTTTTTTTTTTACATTTCACTGGTTCTAAGGGAGCAGGTCATACAGATATACAGTCTTATAGTTGAGACAGATTGCTGTTTGTTGTTTGATTTCTTGAAATACTCCTATTTTGAAGGTATCGTATGGCAGGTATTTTTTTTGTAATATATGTGTATTACATTTATTTCATCTTAAGGGTCCTTCAAAATATTTAGTACCCATCAAAACAAATGGAGACAGAATTGTAGCAAAAGTAGGTTCTGAAATTGCTGCAAAAATCTACTCCAAAAAAGCATTTATTGAAATACTCCTTATAAACCTGAGAAGTCTAGAACCCCTGAATGTTCCTTAAATGAAATAGAAATCTAAAAGCAGCCTAACTGACCAACAACTGAGCAATCACTACATTATGGTACAGCTACACAATATAATAGTCTCAATCACCAAAAATAATAATCCTAAAGTTAAAGGGTTTGTCATATGACACGGAGTAGGAATTATATGTAAATAATATGCTTGCCTGTGAACGGAGAACACAGAAGTAATTATGCCAATGCCAACTGCCTCCGGTGGGTGGGAAACTGTGCTTCATCAATGGCAAATCAGTGAGGCAATGAGAACAGGAAGAGGCTGGATTCCACAGAGGTGTGGAACTCCTATTTGTTCTCTGGCCTGGGATAAAGACTCTGTCCCTCTTCTCAGCGCGGAGGGGAGGCCCCGGGGGATGGAAGAGGAGGGGGGTGGGGCTGTAGGACCTTACCTTGTAGTAGTCATACAGCAGGCCGAGGGCGGCTGCACTGTCCTCATCGCCATTAATGCTCATCATCGCCTTGGTGGCCGCCGTCAGGGGATTCTCCAAATATGACTTCCAGGCTTCATCCTCACTCGTGTAAGCTCTTCGGGTGTTGAATGGAGGGTCAGTGGGCATGGGCACTAAGGCCACCAATCGTTTATTACTGTAAAAGAAAAAAAATGAGGTTCGTTATCAGAGAAATAGTCATTTTCCCACAAACACCACGCACATTCTATGGTTAATGTGTACTTCCCCAGAATGGAGGGGAAATGAAGGTTAAAACTAAAGAGACTGCCACGTGGCATTGATAAAGTCACTGGTTTATGTTTTCCCTGTCTATGAGAAGGAATAGTGGCCTTTGAAAGGTTGTAATAAGTAGAGAAAGTGGTTCCCCTCACACTTGGTTTTCCATATCCAATTATTCTAGGAGCCAAATCCCTTAATTTGATTATTCTTCATTAATGACTATTAGAAGGAAACCCTGTTGAGGAAGCAGGTTTCATTTCGTTCTCTGAGTTCTAATTAGAAACATATGCCATACGCAAGTGTAATCACACATTAATGATCATCAAAAATTGTCTGACCTAGTTCAATCCACGTGTGACATTGCTAGAGAATTAGAGGCTGCCGCAAGTCTCTTAATTAAAAAGGCTACGTAAGCTACTCTGCAAACAAGACTCGCAGATACGCTGTCTAATGAGAATAAGAAGCAAGATGATGAGACAGCATTGCCAAAGAATCCTACTATAATCGACACAGAAGCTACAGGTTACAACAACCATCATGGGGAGTGAGGAGTGTGTCTAGAGCAGTGGTCGGCAAACTGCGGCTCGCAAGCCACATGCGGCTCTTTGGCCCCTTGAGTGTGGCTCTTCCACAAAATACCACGTGCGGGCGCGCACATACAGTGCGATTGAAACTTCGTGGCCCGTGCGCAGAAGTCAGTTTTTGGCCTGGGCGAGTCTATTTTGAAGAAGTGGCGTTAGAACACTCAAGGGGCCAAAGAACCACATGTGGCTTGTGAGCCTAGGTTTGCCGACCACTGGCCTAGAGAATCTGCAGTAGAGACTTCAGTAGAGGATTGACAGAAAGGGGCTGGAGTAATCATTTATTAACCCTGACCAAGCCAAACTCGGGTAAAGCAGATATTGATGAACAAGGCAATTTTCTTAAAGAGGGTGTGACAATGGCTCTTTGGAGACCATGACAGTCTTCAGCAGCTCCCGGGGCAGGGCCCCGCTGTCAAGGAAAGGAGCCCAGGACGGCGTTGGCACTCACCTCCTGGCCCTCTTTCACTTGTTCATGGAAATGGAAACCAAACGGAACAATGAGACACTGTATTTCAGTAACTCCTCGGTCCATTCACCGTGACAGGACAGCCAGGGGAAGGCAATAACTGTACTAATCAATGGAAATTCAGGCACCAAGGGCCTCTGATGGTCGTTCAAGTTCTAAAAGAGGTCCCTTTTCGTTAACATTCGTACCCGACCTTCCAGGGCTCCATGGCCTCCCCGCTCACTTTGTAATGGGGAAGTGGTGTGAACCCACAACAGTGAATTGTGGGTCCTTCATGTGCTGGCCTGGTGCCATGCTCTGGTGGAAGGTCAGAAAACAACAGTGAACGTGGTAAGATATATTTGGGGACAGAGTAGGAAATCCACAACTAACAGGGTGGAATCAATGCCACATGGTCTTCAGGCCCCTGATTTGCACTCTGGGTGCCAGTAGTTTGGAAGACCTGATTTGGGACGAGATAGAGGATATTAATCCAATTGCAAATGAGTTGGATTAAAAGGATACAATCAAGTTTCTGGAAGGCAATGAGAAAACCCGCTAGTGGGAGGGTTTATCTGCCACGATGGGAGTAGCACAGACCCTAAAAGTGAGTCTTGCTCACCACTTACGGTGGTGGAAAATTGCCTGAGCGTCAGCTTCTTTGGGCTTCAAGTAAGAAGAGCGATGCCCACCTTACCGACCTCACAATGTGATTGTCAGAATCAAATAAAATAGTGGGTAAGACAGTTTTCTAAACTGCACACACTATGTAAACAAACAGGGATTACTGTCACCGAGCGGCTCTATGTTCCTGTAAAGTGTGTGGGTATACCGATTTGGGGTAGCATTGGTTATAATTTTAAAGTGCTGATGATAATCATTAATTAAAGGGAAAATGAAGTTGTCCTTTAGCAATATTCTGTGAGTATTTATTAAGAGTCCAACGGGTAGTTCTAGAGGAGACCATGGTGAAAGAGACAGGTACTGCCTTGTCGCCCACGTACCTGCTGTCCAGTGGGGCAGAGCCCGTAGTGTCAACAAGAGGCATGAATGTGAGAAAGGGAAATGGATGGTGTCATGAGGGTATATGTGACAGAGGGGACTAACCTAATCAGAGACTCTAGGAGGAATGGAAGTGTCTACAAATATCTGAAGGATAGGTCCCATGTTAAAATGGGCAGATGAGGGGAATATTTCTCACGGCGAAGAGTATGCTGGTAATGCAGAACACTGGGACTTTCTGACAAAAGGAGCACATTTGTATCATCGGCATGCTTTGACCTACCAGTAAAATAACAGCATTTCTGTGCTGTAAAAATTGTTAATCATGCCGAAACCCATTTGGCTCAGTGGATAGAGTGTTGGCCTGCAGGATGAAAGGTCCCAGGTTTGATTCCAGTCAAGGGCTTGTACCTTGGTTGTGGGCACATCCCCAGTAGGGGTGTGCAGGAGGCAGCTGATCGATGTTTCTCATTGATGTTTCTGACTATCTCTCTCCCTTCCTCTCTGTAAGAAATCAATAAAATATATTTTTAAAAATTGTTAATCATATAGGATAAGGTTGGACTTGGAGACAGAAATGTTGGTGGGCTGGACCTGGGGAGTATTACGCTAAGAAAAATAAGCCAGTCAGAGAAAGACAAGTATCTCATGATCTCACTCATAAGTGCAACCAAATGAACAAAATAAACTGACGAACAAAATACAGCCAGAGACATGGAAGCATGCAACAGACTGGCGAATCTCAGGGGGAAGGAGTGGGGGTGGGAGACGACTCAGAAAAAGATGAACCAAAGAAGTTGCGTGCATACGTGCATAACCCATGGACACAGACAATAGTGCAGTGAAGGCATGGGGAAGGAGCGGGAGCAAGATGGAATGGGTCAATTGCAGGGGGTGGGGAGAGGGTTGGCGCAAGATGGGACATCTGTAATACTTTCTACAGTAAAACTAAACTTTAAAAATAAAATCATTAAATAAAATAAAGTCTACAGAGAGAAATTATGGCAGTTGTCACCACCTCCCCTTCCACAGTTGTGTAGCTGGGGCCACCCTGGGTTCCTGTCTGCAGCCTTTACTTAAAAGGTGAAACAGAGGATTCGGAACCCCAATCATGGCCCATGAGAGCCCAGGCATCGTGCACACTTCCTAAAAACGCTCAGTCCCACAGGAAGGAAGGAAGAGCTTCATGCTATCTACAGTCACCTCACTATTGAAAAAGATGAGGATTTTATTACGTTTCATGCCTCAGAGAAGCACCTATTGCTGGGGGAGGGGAGTGTTAATTACAACACTGGCTGATTTCCAGAAGTTCAGCAGGAAGTGCCAGAGGGAGGGACAAGAGCCAGATCTTGAGCCACACTCAGCAGTGTCCTGATTCACTGGAGAGATTTCTCCCTCGAGTCTTCCTTCTTCAGGGCCCCGCTCCCTCCTGCCGAGCTTCCTGGATGGCTGATTTCATCTGTTCCCAGCACAAACGTTCCCTCATAAACTGAGATGCATCAGCCTTTCCCCTGTGATGAAATGGCTGATGAGTCCTCGCAGGATCAATGGAAAGAAATAGTCTGGGAAAGCACAACTTGACTCGTTTCTTTTCCAACATCGGATGGCCGAAGGAGTCTTTTATGCTCTTCCCTTTAGCCGTGTGATGACTTCAATATTTCCCCCCCACAGATTAGAATCTCTCTTGTACAGAGCACTGTGGAATAAAGGTTGGTTTTATAACCACAGAATAATCTCCCTGGTAGAGTGAGCAAAAGCCCTGTGAAGAAAGGAAAGTTTCACAGAGCAGCTTTTACCAAAGTTTGGAACAATTTCTGGAGATTTTATCGTTGTGCTAACACTGCTGTGATAAACATTTTCAGTATCTTTTTGTGTAGCTTTAGGTGTATTAGGTTATGGGTAGCCTCAAACACAGAACTGTAAAGAGCAACGATAGCCCTTGTTGGTGTGGCTCAGTGGGTTAAGCATCATCCCATGCACCAAAAGGTCACTGGTTCAGTTCCAGGTCAGGACACATGCTAGGGTTGCAGGCTCGATCCTTAGTAGGGGATGTGCAGGAGACAGCCAACTGGTATTTCTCTCGCACATCAATGATTCTCTTTCTCCCCCTCTCCTTTCTTCTCTCTCTAGAATCAACACAAACCTTTTTTTTTTTTTTTTTTTTGAAGCAACTACTATAAACTTTATCTCTGATCCTTCTCTGGATAAAAGTCTAGATCAGTAGTCAGCAAACTGCGGCTCGCGAGCCACAGCTCTTTGGCCCCTTGAGTGTGGCTCTTCCACTGGCTTGGGCGAGTCTATTTTGAAGAAGTGGCATTAGAACAAGTTTAAAAATTTGGCTCTCAAAAGAAATTTCAATCGCTGTACTGTTGATATTGGGCTCTGTTGACTAATGAGTTTGCCGATCACTGGTCTAGATGAATACCTGAGCACTCATAGCAAAGCTAAATCAGGCTGTATTAGTTCACAGATTTAATTTTTTTCTCATTTGTTTTCTTTAATCCAATACTTCATTTTGTGGATGTTGAGAGATGAGTCATCAGCTTTAGTAGTGAAAGAGGTGGAGCAGACATGTGACTAAGACCATAACCAAGTCAAGAAAAGCTCTAGATCACTGGGTCAGAGATAACCTATAAACCCCCCCCCCTCCCCCCCGAGCATTAACAACAGTCTAATGCAGAAATGCTTTGCTGGAGAGGAGCACACAACGTCTCTATCTCCTAAAAATATGTATAGAAATAGTCAATAAATCCATTTTACTTGGAATCACAAAACAAAAATGAGAAGAGAGAATTGTTCACACAAACTATCACTTTCAATTCATTTCTAATCATCCATTTCTTTCATAATTCCTAGGAGGGCATAGGTTTGGGGGCTTTGTTTTGT